TGAACCCTGACTTGAGGCACTCAACGTAGGTGGCACTCGGCCTGCACACACTACAGGTTGTGCACTGGTCTTTGGAGGGACCTTTTGCGCAAGAACCGGATGGTCATTCATGCTCAAATGACCTTCAGGTGGTCCTTTGGCCGCTCCAACTATCCACTGCCGAGGACCAAGCGGTCTCAAGGGTCGAATGGGCCATGAAACTGCAGTCCCCAATTCGCGATATCTTCCGCAACCCTGGTGGAACACCTGACAATCGAAAGGTTTCTCGTATTTCTAGTTGCAAAGGCAAGGTGGCTCCCGGGCGGAGCTGTTGGAAAGCACGCTGAAATGACTGCTCTGGAACACGCACCCCGAATCGCATTTTGGAGCGAACCAATCCACATTGTTCCTGAAAGCTCATTGCCAAGGCAGAGACTTCTTCTTTTGGTGCAGGGACCCAGACTATGGCATAGCCATGCAGGACCTGGCCAACCCAGCTTTTAGGGGTCACGTAGATATGATTAAAACCGGATTTCTGCAGCATTGAAGAAAGGTGCGCTTTGCTGACCCGGGCATGGAACTGGAGCTGAGCACATGATGTGGAGGAGGATGAGTCATGGTGCTCTCGGTAGCTACGTCCCCAGGGCGACGTAAATGGCATGTCAACGCCGCCCTTTCTCCAAACCTCCAAAGTTGTCCTAACCGGATTTGATTTCAATGTGGACCACTCAACCTCTGTCCAGTCATCCTGGAAGGCCGCAAATGCACAACAGATTGCCTCCTCCGTTTGAACTTCGGCCGAGTGCTTGCACTTGAAGCCGATTTTCCTATCCCCAAGCTGATGCATACAAGCCCTCAGGAGCACCGGCTCCGTGAGAGAGTTGACCGCTGGAACAGTCACAGGGCCAGAACATGTCTCTGCATGTGGGCAAGCATGGCCAAGAATCAACACGGCTAGTTCATCCATCACTCGCATTTGAAGGTGGGGGACAGCGTCCTCCGGATCTAGCAAAATTACGCCAGAACTGCCCGGCAGCAACTGCTGTAGCAGGCATGCAGGGGAATTATCAGCATTAAAGAAATATCCCTCTTGCAAGCGAAAAGCCAAAGCCTTAACATTCAGTTGCTGCGCTTGAGCCCTGGATTTGGCTTTCGCCTTCACCCTTTGCTGCGCCTGTTGCATCCTAGCTCCCGTAGGCGGAACCGTAACCTCGAATTGTCTACACAACTGAAGGATCTGCTGCCAACGGTTCTCAGCATTGGTGAGGGCAAGCGCACGTTGGATCCTAGCCAAGCCTGCCTGTGGCAGAAGCCTGTCGACAACAGCTGAGGAATCATTCAGAGACGCACCGTGCTCCAAAAACTCCTTAGCGAGTCGCGTCTGACAGGTCGTATACTGTTCGTCCTTCGCACCTCCTCCTCTCGTTTCAGGAAAAATGGTGACTAGGAGGTGACCTGTACGGGAGACAAAAGCCTGCACGTCAGGGTTAAGCATTGCTTCATGAAGAGTAACATCCTGTGAAGGCCAGTTCGGTCCCGACCCTACTCGTGCTGAGGCAATGAAACCCAAGTTGCGTCGAACATGCTGCCAGTCATGAAGGATCTCGCCAAACTTGATACAACCCGAAAGCTTACCCCTCCAGACAGCCCTGCCCTCAATTTGAACCTTGACCAGGACTCCAAAATCAGCAAAGAAGGTGGCATGCTGTCTGGCATTCAGACAACCTTGGAAGAACATCTGCACACCAGTGAGCAAGATCTTCTTGCCTAAGACGCATGCGGTGAGGCTGTGGCTGAAAAAGGACTGAGATTCCGCGGTCTGACCCACAGTTGGCAGGTATCAAGCGAGGATACCAACCCAATGTAACAGCATGTTGCGTGGGAAATCCTGCCCCAATCTGCAATGCGGCCGCCTGAGGCAGAAACAATCGGACAGGATCAACGTACGTCATAAACTTGACCCCTTCGAAACAATCCCTATGGCAATCTGGCATAGAGATTGGTGACTCATACGAGTCATGCACAAGGACGACAGTTTGATCGAAGTCTCTCCATCGATGCACCGGGCAGTGATCTACTTTATGCCACAACGCTTTTCCGTCCAAAGGGTCAAGCCCATCCAGAAACGCAACCCCATGTAACGAAGCAGCAATTGCGGGACCTGCCGCTGCAATAACGTAAACTGCCTGCATGCCCAGTATGACAAGAAGAGGAGGACCCGTGCGTGTGTCAACGTGGAGATCAATCCCTGTGCTGCGAATCTCAGGTATGCACGGTGTCACGAGAATCGATTCCTCAGGGGGTTTGTCAACGAATGCCGACTGGAGAGGGGCGACTACTTGCGCTAGCCGTATCTCTTGCAGGTTACTTTCGTCATACTGGATGCCAATCGATTCCAACAAGTGGGGCAAAGAAAACCCAGGCGACTTCAGAATGGCAATGGTGTCAAAGTCATCCCTAACCCAAAAGACCTGCGTTCCCCCAAAGTTGGAATCAGACAGCTGACCCCATGGCACTGATGGACGGAGTCTGGACAACGCTTCCTGAACCTGGCACTGCTTGCAAAGTACCCAGCCGTCACGTAATGGTAGGATGACAATTTGACTGGCACGCATACGCTCCCCAACTGCCCACTGCACTGCTTGGAGCGGATCTACTTTCAAACCCACCGGCTGCAAACTAGAAACTGCCAAGGCCAAGGGCAAAATTGCTTGTGGCACACTCAAAGAATTACCAACAAACAACATCAACTGCGCGTCATCTTGTGGCATAAAGAAAGGTTCCTGACAGCAATGGATTAACGCGATCTCTGCGCCTGACAGGAAGCGAAGACCCTGATGATCACGTAACAAGTTGCCAATGATCCCTCCCCGAGCAAGAGAGGTTTCAGGTAGGGCATGTTGTTTGTGGTATTGTGCCATGATGGTACTAACCCTTCCACTGGATGTGACAATCCTATGAGCGATAGGGTCACTACCAGTCCTCGCGAATTTTGAAGGGGGGCTATAGTACGGGTCAAGGTACATGGACAAGACTGTAGGCTCAAGATGGCACGCCTGCTGAAGGGCCGGGCACAATTGTAATAAACAATCAAAGCTACCCAATGTGGGACGTCTAGGCATGACCGGTCGTCCCTGCAATTTGGGAAACTTATCCGCTGCATCCTGTCTGGTCAGTACAAGCAGACATCTGTTCCGGCTTTGAGGTGCGAAGTCAATGAGATCAACATTCTGATGCCATGTCTCAATGTATCCAATGTCTTCCCAACATTGTTTCACAAAGGCAAAATGGCTATGTTTGCGAAATCCGACTACCTCCTCAATGCAAACTACTGCTGGCTGAAAAATCTGCATGAGTGACAGCAGGCGAAGAATCAGTTTGCCGTCCTGATCATGGAGGCCTTGCTGAGAACCCGCGGTACTCCATGGTTGACATGGCGGCGAACTGCACCAAATATCAACTGGATTGCGTGCTGGCCACAGTAGCCACCAATCTTCTTGTATCATTGCGTTCAGAAAAACAGGGGCAGTTTGATGTGCTAAGGGTTCAGCCCCGTCCTTAGCTGCAACTGTTGTTGCACCATCATGCTGCGCAACAAAGGATCTGCCACACAAAGGATTGGAATCTATCGCCCAGCGCAACCGGACTGGAATGTTATGATGCTGTAATACAGAGATGCCCTGACTCCAGCCCATGAATCCTCCAGAGAAAAGCTCCGCAACCTGAACGCATTCGTCAACCCTCATAGTAACGCCTGCTGCAATGACAGCTGTTCCCAGTGTGGTGTCCAACACTGGAGGCCTGTTCTCCCCAATCAACGGACAGTTCAGAATCCGCAAGCTGGAGGAGTGTTGTCCCACAGCATACCAATTGGAAAGGCTCATACGAATGACTACTTTGTCCACACAAAGACATGGAACTTGTTCAGTCATGGGGCGCCACGATGACAACAAGCTGCCTGACACCAAAACTGAATCATCCTGAAAGGAGAACCGCCCATCCAACTTCACGTGAAAGTGACGTAAAGCGGCTTCGCTAATGTCAAGCTTCTGTTGTACTGCATACTGAAAGTCAGTCCAGTAGTCACCCAAAATCCCTGTCTCAATAGCCGACAGCTCGGAAGATTCCATTGCAGAAGTATCCTGGCCGCGACTAGTCACCTGTGGCTTAACGGCCACGCCAACTAGTAGGCTCGGGCCCGTGGCTAAACTGTGAAGGGCCTAGGGAATTAGATTAGGGTTTTAAGGTTTAGGGTTTTAGAGTTTAGGGTTGAGGGTTTAGGGTTTTAGGGTTTAGCTTCTTAGGGTTTAGCGTTTTAGGGTTTAGGGTTTAGGGTTTTAGGGTTCAGGATTTTAGGGTTTAGCTTTTATGGTTTAGCGTTTAGGGTTTTAGGGTTTTAGGGTTTTAGGGTTCAGGGTTTTAGGGTTGAGGGTTTAAAGCCTTAGGGTTTTAGGGTTTAGGGTTGAGGTGTGCGTTTACTTTGGTGAGCGCAATAGCTTAGGGTATGAGGAGATTATTTGAGGCATTTAAACCCCAGCATTTATGATGTTCTCATGGACCCCTTACCTTAAGAAACCGAATTGCGGGGTAAGTACTTCCCAGGGTTCCTACGTTGGTTCCTATGGGTTCAGGGGGTTCAAGGTTCAGCTATAGAAAGGCCTTGACATTACCACATCACCCCCCCCCCCAATCTCGATCCTTACTCCGTGGAGTAGTACCCGGCACCCCGAAGAAAGGGTCTAGGGTTGAGGGATTACGGAATACGTTTTAGGGTTTAGGATTTTAGGTTTTTAGCGTGCCGCATGGCAACACTAACCCTCGACATCGATTTCCTTGAGGCGTTGATCCAGATTGTGCAGACTAGACCCCAAAACCCCAAACCCTAAACGCCAACCCTCAGCCCTATCTATAATGAGATAGGGTTAAGTGTCTTACGGATAGTATCGTTTCTCAGCAGAAAAAATCTTAAGGGCCAAGTAGTCTTCTGGGCTTCCGTGGGGCTAAGCCTCACACTGCCGCAGGAAGGCGAGTTGGCTATCGTGAAGGCCGGTTTAGAGTTTAGGGGCCTAGGGTTTGGGGGTTTACCCTAAGGGTGCAAGGACCTCAATAGTAGGGTTTTGATAGTCCAAATACTAAAGTAGTACTGGTATTTGGGCCCTCAAACCCTGTTATTTGGGTCCTTGGACCCTTAGGGTTGGGGTAAAGGACCACCCTGTGGTCTGCAAGGATTTGTATAGCTGCTCAGTACCGGGAACCCACAACTCATGTGAGCTATAGTCTAATTCCTAGTATCCCCTTAAATAGCCCCTATAGTAGTCCCCTGTATAATGCCCCATGTAACCCCCCTTTAAGGAGTTTAGACCCTAAACCCTAATCCCTAAAGCCTATATAACCCCTATATGTATATCCCCCTTTAAGGAGTTTAGACCCTAAACCCTAAATACTAAACCCTATATAGGCCCTATATATATATATATGTATATATATATATACCCACCTTCAACGAGTTTAGACAATGGCTCATGTGAAATGATCGCCTTTTGGGGGGAGTTTTGCGTACGTTGAGGCCCAGGTAGGGCTTAGCTGGAGATCCGAGTTGGCTACAATTGGGGTTTAGGGCTTAGGGCTTAGGGTTTGGGATTCAGGGTAGGATTTGGGTTGAAAGGTGGTCTTAGCTATTGCCTGCGGAATGTCTAGGCAGCAGGATTTAGGATTCAATGGCCCTAAACCCTAGACCCGAAAGTGTAGGGTCTCGTGCGTTAGGGTTGACAGTGGTCCTTCCAAATCTGAGGTGTTGGTATAGGAATGTGCGCATGGACTCAGCTACTACTTATAATTGGATTTCTAACCTGGTTTGGGAGTAACCTATGTAAGCCCGGTTAAGGGGGAACGAGTTTCGAGTTTAGGGTGGAATATTACTGCCAACATTGTTGTTCTAGATTCCTGGTATTTTGATGGGATAGGGAACCTCAAACAAACCACAAGAAGAACCTGGTTTTGCTTAGGCCCCTGTATATGTCCTTTTTTGAGAAGCCCCTTCCTGAAGGTGTACTCTTGAGTTGAGAATTGCTCATGATGAAATGGGGTCTAAATCGGAGACCCTCCTTTAGAAACCCCCTCGCATAGACAGGAATCTGAGAACCTCATGTTCGGATCTTGTGTCTCTCTCGTCGTTGAGCACAGAAGGTCCCGTCTCAACTTTTTGCAGACCCAACCTTTCCGGAAGTCCTGACAAGTCGACAATGAATACCCGGCGTCCCTAGCTGGGGGTTACTTGTGAATGCTCTGAAAACTTGGCAATTCTAGCCTCTGCCAGGCCGCCAAGAAGGCGGGCGTGCCGTACATGCTGCCCACCCTGAGCAGCTACACCCTGGACGAGATGCTGGCGGCCCGCACGCCGGACCAGGTGGTCTTCAGCCAGCTGTACGTGAACCCGGAGCGGTCCCGCAGCGAGGAGTACGTGGCAAAGCTTGAGGCAGCAGGTGTGCAGGCGCTCTTCGTGACCGTGGATGCTCCGCAGCTGGGTCGCCGCGAGAAGGACATGCGCAACAAGTTCACCCAGCAGGGCTCCGACGTGCAGGGCGACGATGAGGATGAAGGTGCCGTGGACCGCTCGCAGGGCGCCACCCGAGCCATCAGCAGCTACATTGACCCTGGCCTCAACTGGGAGGACGTGCCATGGCTCAAGAGCATCACCAAGATGAAGGTGTTGCTGAAGGGTGTGCAGTGCGCGGAGGATGCCGTGATGGCCTTCAAGTCTGGTCTCGCTGGCTGCGTGCTCTCCAACCACGGTGGCCGCCAGCTGGACACCTGCCGCCCGGGCATCGAGGTCCTGCCGGAGGTCATGGAGGCCGTCAAGGCCGAGGGCGCCACCAAGGACAACTTCGCGGTCTTCATCGATGGCGGCGTCCGCCGTGGCGGTGACGTCTTCAAGGCTGTTGCCCTGGGTGCGCAGGCCGTGGGTGTGGGCCGTCCGGTGCTCTACTCCCTTGCCTCCTACG